TGGGGTGCAATCAATCTTCCCTTCTGCTTTCACTTCCCTAAAGGCCAAGCAACATCTTATGCCTAAAACTTATAGCAAGGCCAGACCTACCATTAGGCAGACTGAAGCAAACACTTTAGGCAGCAGATGCTGGAGAACAACAACTTCCATCTGTTCCTCCCTAATCTCTGACCATTTCGCTCTGTTAAAGGAGAGAGGTAGAAACATAGAATCAGAGTGAGTCAGGAGGGACCTCCTGGGCCATCTAGTCTGACCCCCCCCCCTCCTGCCAGCTCCACTCATGACATACCTACCATGTGCATGTTCAGCCTGTCTTTAAACACTCTCACCAGTGGGGCTTCAACCACCTCCAGTGGAAGCCCATTCCATACCCTAGGGGTCCTAACCATAGGAAGTACTTCCTAGCATCCACCCTAAATCTTGGTTCCTTCAGCTTTGCTCCACTGGAACACGTCCTGACCTCCACTGCAGGGGGGAAAAGGTCATGACCCACCTCTGCATGGCACCCCCTCATGCACTGGGACTTGCTGCTCTCACATAACAGAAATGACGCTGCTCCATCATAAATACAGGTGGCTTCTGTACAGGGAATGGAAGTGGGAGTTGATACTGGATGAAGGCTGGTGGTGTGACCTGGTGTTGGCGACAGGATAGCTACAGCTCAGCTCCTTTCAGTTCTTAGCTAATGTGTATTTGACAGCAGGAGCAGTTGTTTTCCTGAGGAGATTGTGTGAGAGTTCTGAGGAAATCCTGAGGTGGTCAGTTATAGATGTTTAGAGAATGCAGAACTGAAAAGCTTAGGAAAGAAAATATGGTCAACCAAAGTAATTGTGAATAAAAATAGCTCCAAGACTTCAAAGGAGGAGGAGGAAACAGCAGCTTTCTGACCCCACAAAATATCTATTCAGCAGCAGTACTGCTGCTAAGGAACCTAAGGGTCAAGCTTCACATTAATTTAAATAACGGGCATCACTTTTGGGGCAATGGTCATTGTGCTCCATCTTTTTTTATGGAGGGGAGGGGGCAGCTTAACATTACTTTACAGTAATGTAGAGTTTCTTCCAGGGGTTCAGGCCTAGAGAAGCATCCCAGCCCAGCACTGAATAATCAATCAAGTGAGCTATTCCTCTTGTTTCATCCTATTTCTTTTGTATCCTTGTTGTCTTTATTCTTTTAAGCAGACCACTGTTCCCTCTACTTTCCTTGTAGGAAACCTGGGAATCAAGCTATGGGGGTGGGTAGCTTTCTCCCTGCTACATTTTCAACCTAAAACTCAGAGTTTCCTCATAACAAAGGACTGCTGGTGTGGAAAGCGCAGTTACAGAAGGTGATCAGTCAAGTTTCAACCCTTCCACCAAAACACAAATTAGCATTATGCTAATTAAGGGGAATTTCGTCACTAATCTTCCACTCATGGGGACAGAATGTGCAAGAAGGACACCTTCAACTGAAGAAACAGGCAGATGCACAATTGTGCTTTTCTGGCCTTGTTCTTGTTTTTATTTTTCACATCACCATTGGATGTGAAAAAGCATGGAAGGACAGCACATAGAAGACGGGCAGGGCCGATGTAGCCATGCAGCAGGATGAATCCACCCGCCTCAGACCGCACCGTGGGCTGAGACATGGGGTAGAGGAAGGCAGAAATTAGTGCCTGAATGACACTGCAAGACTTTTGAAGGGTTGGCCCTAGTGGGAGGAAGCCATCTGGCTCTGCTTCAGCACAATGTCTTGGGCTGGTAGTGGATATTTGATGATGGCATTTTCTCAATGATCTGTTGTTTCTTTGAGAGGCAATTTCCTGTCTCTTAGATCTATATGTAGCTTGCATGCATGCTGTAGGGAGCTGTAGGCCAGCCTTCTGTTTTAGCTTCCTAATGTTTTTTTCTTGTCTTTCTGTTTTTAAGAGCCTCCAAATTCAGCTAGTCTGAGATCTGCTAATGTTAATTGCACGTGCCCCATATATATATATATGCACAAAACCTCTGTTTTATGTGATTTGTTTGATGTGTTCTATGGGGTGACTATTAATTTGCTTAAGATTCTTTATCTGTTGGGAAATTTAATAAAATTCTTCACCACAAATGGAATGTATCTAAGGAAGCTTTGCTGCCATTGCCAAATGCATATAGAAAATGGCTGGACAACTTGTACCTGACCAATCTCTGAAGACGCAGGAACCCTAAAAGTGAGACTTGTTTGTTCCTTTCCTGCCCAGCCAAATCTTATTTCAGGATCAATTTCTTCTTAATTTCAATGATCTGGTTCATTATTGAGCTCTGGCAACAGGTGGGAATCTAAAAGGTTCTGACTGTTCCCAAGTTTATTCAGAATGGTCTCCTGAGAACCTGACCTGGGGAGTGGAGTGGGAGGGCAGCTTGGGGAAACTCAAGCTTTTCTTTTTCGGGAGAAGTCAGTCATTACTAGAGTAAACATGGATTTCCAGAAACTTTTTCAGAATAAAGAAACCAGGAATATTGACATGTGAGTCATGTGCAATTTCTGTAAAGCACATGTAAGGGGCCCTTCTCATTAACAGCACAAAAAGTGACAATAGCATAAGAAGTTGAGCAAGAAAAAGCTCTGCCTGGACTCCAGCAATGGTATGAGATTGTATAAATAATTCTTTAAAACTAAAAAAGAGAAAAGGCCAGGGAATGTAAGGAAAAACATTGATCAAATATAGTGGGGAGGGAGGATTAAATCATAAAATTGAAAAGTGGGAAAATTGTCTGATCAAATTGTAGCTCTATATTAAAACAAACAAACTTCTCAGTGATAAACAGCTTTGAAATTTCCATTTTTTAAAATTTGTAATGAACCTAGGCATCTTTCTCCAAACAATATTGGGTGTCCTGTCTATTCTAGCATAGCCATGGTGCTTACAAGCTGAGGGATCAGTGCAATCTACTCCTTGGCGCATTATTTATTTATTTATAATTGAATTTCTAATCCACAATAACCAATAGTCCAGGAGGAACTTCAGAGCAGGTCTTCCAACCCCGCCTCCCCCCCCCCCACACAAAATAGGCATATCATTGCATCAGACCTTTATCAGGAATTGGCAGTCCAAGTCTACCTCAATTTGAGTTCAGAGCCCATGCTAGGATGGATTTTGGCCCACGCATTCATCAAAACATAAGAATATAAGAGATGCCTTACTGAATTAGGCCAAGTGTGCATCTGTTCCAACATTCTCAAGCAGGGCATGAATGCAAACATGTTGGAATACAATTTACAGCCAAGTAAATTTTCTTTCCCATACATTTCAATTATATTTCCACGTATGCTCCCTTAAGTCATTGAAACCATAATGTTTGGGATGAAGTGCAAGATTCATATTGTATTAAACCTCTCACATCTCTTAAAGCTGGAAGGTTTTGAACAACTTCTTAAAACCCAAAGGGGGCCAATTGCTGTGACCTTGAATATCTTAATGAATTTAGATCTCTAGAAAAGAAATCGTATATGAGAGAATATTAAGCAATGATCTTAATGGCCCAGACATAACACATGGTGCGTTCTATTCTGTGCATCTCATGCAGTAGTGTGCGCATGTTTAAAGAGAGTGCCACATGTGAACGATGGGAAGTCCATGAAGAAAGCTCTGGGGGACTGGGCTCTCCTTTCCCTACACTTATCAAAAAAGTAAGTCTTACTCATTTCAGCAACCGGACTGCTTTAGCCCAGATAGAACGATAATAAAAATATGTGTGGGAACACATGAGGCTAATCAGTGATCTTTGGAAGTGTTTTTTTCTGGACAGAATTCAGATTTTAATGTTTTAAAACTCTTTAAACTTTAAAATTAATAAAATTGAAAACTAATTTTAATTAGCATCAACACATTCTCTTGCATAAACAGGATCCACCATGTGCACAATGGAGATTCAACACTTCCCAAAGAAACCTCTGAAATGAGCAGAAATGCCTGTTTCAATTGAGACAGTTTGGTGGAACTCCCTGATGAGAGCTCTGTTGATCTGACCTATTCCAGAAACCCTTGTTTTGCTCATTTCCACTTACCCTGGAAGTTCTAGATCCTCATTTTGCAAGTGATAGGTGCTAGAGTAACCTGCAAGGGTTACCTGCAATGAAGGGTGACCCTTGGGATGGAAAAACATACTGCATCCATGTTCTAGATGCTTGAAGGACTACACACCACATGGCATGCTATCAATCAAGGTCTGCATTGGGGTGAGAGTGCAGCCTGCACTCGGTCCTCCAAGTCTTGCTACTGCTTCTGAAATGGTGGTCAGGTGGAGAAGGAAAAGGCACTGTAGGAACAGGTTCTGGGGTTCCTGTCACAGCAGTTTCATTTCTTGAGTGTCCCTGGAGCTTCCTGGGAGATTCTGAGGATGCTGTAGGAAGGATATTTCTGTGGGCGAAAATATAGCGCTCAGAATGAATATGTTTTCCCATCCTTTTAGGAGAGGTGGCTGGAGAGAGAGCTTAAACTCCTTAATATTGTGATGTGATACAGAGACTGCAACATCAAGAGTTGTTTATGGTGGGGGGAATATGAGTGTGTGTGTGTGTGTGTGTGTGTGTGTGTGTGTGTGTGTGT